TCTGGAAAGTATCCAGCCACTGTTAATATAATGAGAACAGTTACATGGATGGATATTTTCTGGACAGCCCTCCTAAAACTACCTAAATTTACACAGCCAGTACAATGTATCCAATTATCAGACCATTGTAATAATTATGTAACTCATTTATTCTAGCAGACTTATATCAATTGGTCATTGCAACTGAAGCAAAATGATATTAACTAAATATTTAATGTCTTCAAATATAATTTAAACAGGTTTTTGAAATCTACTTAGAGACATGTAATAAGTATGTGTAAAACTCTTCCTTGAGTTAATATCATATGCCTAGTAGTTACTAAGAACTTACAGTACTCAAAGTGTTGATCAAAGGATAACAGATTAATGGCACAGGACAGAGAGTCCAGAAATACCTCCACCATACTTCAAAATTAACTTAACGGAAATAATAGACCTAAATGTAAATGCTAGATCTACAAGTGCTCTAGAAAAAAAAATAGAAAAACTTTTCATTATCTTAAGGAAAGCAAAGATGTCTTAAGAAGAACCGAAAAGCACTAATTGTGAAGGAATATATATGAACATATTGTGTCATCAAATTTTAAAACATGCACTCTCCAAAATTATGCTAAGATAATGAAAAGGTAAACCACAGACTAGGAAGACTATTCACATTAAATAATTCTGACAAAGGACTGGTATTAGGAATATATACATATTCCCCACAATTCACTGATCAAAATATAAATAGCCCAATTTAAAAAAAAAGTCTAAGTTGTGAGCAGACACTTCATTAAAGAAGGAATATGAATAGTAAATAACCACATGGTAAGAATTTCAACATCTATAATTGTCAAGAAAATGCAAATTTGGGATATAATAAAATTCCACATGACAGAGTCCCTGCTGGACGACACTCTAGCCAAACTTCTCTCAGCCCTTTCTTGACGTCAACTTAGACCTAGAAAGACTTGATCAAAAAAATAACATATTTTCGAACAGCTCATGGCCACATCCCTAGGATGATACAAACCCCCCACCTTGAAGTGCCTACCTGAAAAAACTCAAGGCTGCCAAAACAATATATTGTTTGTTGCAGCCAACACCTGAAGAAAGAGCTTCTGGCTACCAGCCCCTAAGGGAGTTTAGGACCCTAACTTCTATAAAAAGCCGTTAGCAAATCCAGATAGGTTTCACATGGACCAACCACCCTTTGCAGTTTTTGTAATTTTTCACTTTTCTAACTCTACTGAGCCCTCCTCATCCACCTCCCTATTCTTTTATTCTACCTTTAAAACAACTAGTCACCTCTGTGCAAATCAAATTTGAATTCAGTTTACACTTGACTCTCTTGCCTATTGCAACAGTATATTACTAATTAAAACATGTCCTTACTACTTTAACTGGTGGCTGGCTTTGTTTATCTTTGACACACTTTACACCTGCT